CTCTCTCTCTCTCTTTCTTTCTCCTTCCTTTCTTCCTTTATTTCTCTTTCTCTCTCTCTTTTCTCTCTCCCCCGTCCTTTGCTTGCTGTTTTCCTTCCCTGCCAGGTTGCATAACTCTTGTCCTTTTACACACCCACGAAAGAGCAATCAAAAGGAGGAGTTGAACATGACATTTGCCCAGGTGCTAACAGCCTTAAGCACAACACTTTGCATGCTTGGCTTGGCGAAAACAAGGTTGCGGAGTTGTTCGCTTGGTACTTTTTCTTTTTTGCTTCCTTTTTATCTAAGCATTTCTTTGCTAGCAAGCAGGGCCTCCCTTGGAGCTGGAAGGTGGCTTGTGACGGACCTAACATGGACCTAACATGGAAAGAGAGGCAGGAAGTAGGTTTGGCTAAGCAAGGATTAACCCAGGGTGCGCGTCCGATCTTGGTAAAGTTGCTTCTGCTAGTGGAACTGGGATGTTTCCACCTTTGGACTGGGTTGGTCCTTACATGATGAGCTGCCCAGGGTCGCTTAAATGAGATGGGTGACTTTGTAAATCAATATGAAATATGGGATGGGATGGAATGAGAACAGAGTAGAATAAAATAGGAAGAAAAGAGAAGAGAGAAGAGAGAATAGAATAAAATAGAATGAGAAGAGAAGAGAAGAGAAAATAGAAGGGAAGAGAGAATAGAATAAAATAGGAAGAAAGGGGAATAGAGAAGAGAATAAGAAGAGAGAATAGAATAGGAAGAGAAGAGAGAATAGAAGAGAATGAGAAGAGAAAAAATAGAATAGAATAGGAATAGAAGAGAATAAAAGGGAAAATAGAATAGAGAAGAGAATGAGAAGAGAATAGAGTATAGAATAGAATAAAATAGGAATAGAAGAGAAGAGAGTAGAAGAGAAGAGAATAAAATAGAAAATAGAAGAGAAAAGGGAGAAGAGAATGTGAAAAGAAAATAGAAGAGAGAATAGAAGAGAATAGGAAGAGAAGAAAAATAGAATAGAATAGGAATAAAATAGGAATAGAAGAGAGTAGAAGAGAATAAAAGAGAAAAGAGAAGAGAAAAGAGAGAAGAGAATGAAAAGAGAGGAGAAGAGAAAATAGAAGAGAAGAGAGAAGAGAATAGAGAATAGAATAAAATAGGAATAGAAGAGAAGAGAATGAGAAGAGAAAATAGAAAATAGAAAAGAAAGAATAGAATAAGATAAGAAGAGAAGAGAATAAATGATAAAATAGAAGAGAAAAGAGAGAAGAGAACGCAAAATGAAAATAGAAGATAGAATAGAATAATATATTATGGTATAATAACATGTATAGCTTGATTATATAAGAAATATAATAATGCAATACTAATGTAATGTATTATAATCATAATTATAATAACCTTTGAAAGGCTGGAGGGTCCAACGATAAAGATCCTAGATCAAGATAGGAGAAAACTGGGTTCAAAATCTGCTTTAGCCAGAGAAGCCGTGGGTTAGGGGTTTGCCCTCAGCCGGCCTACCTTGCCAGGTTGTTGTGGGAGAAGAACAGGAGCCCTACCTGCCCCCACCCCCAGCCCACCCCCTTTATACGATCCAGAAAGGAGGCCGACGGGTCTGTGGCCTTTCCCGTAGGGAGCTGGCGCGGGGCACCATGGAGAATTCCTCGGATGGCGAAGGCAGGAATCCCTGGGGGGAGCCCGACCTGGAAGGTGGGGAGAAGACCTGCGCCGTGTGTGGAGACCGAGCCAGCGGCTACCATTTCCACGTCATGACCTGTGAAGGCTGCAAGGGGTTCTTCCGGTAGGCATGATGGAGGCCTTTCCTCCTGCCCTGGGTCTGTCTCCTTCCCTCCCTCCCTCCCTCCCTCTACCCCCTCTTTCCCTCTCTTCTTCCCTCTCGTCTTCCCTCCCTCTCTCTCTCCTTCTCCCTCCCCCTCCCTCTCTCCCTCCCTCTCCCTCTCTCCCTTTCCCTCCCCCTACCTCTCCCCCTCCCTCTCCCTCTTTCCCTCTCTTCTTCCCTCTCTTCTTCCCTTCCTTCCCCACTCCCTCTCTCCCTCCCTCTTTCCCTCCCTCTCCCTCTCCCTCCCTCTCCCTCTTTCCCTCTCTCCCTTTCCCTCCTCCTCCCTCTCTCCCTCCCTCTCCCTCTTTCCCTCTCTCCCTCCCTCCCTCTCCCTCCCCCTCCCTCTTTCCCTCTCTCCCTCCCTCCCTTTCCCTCCCTCTTCCTCTCCATCCCTCTCCCTCCCCCTCCCCCTCTCCCCCTCCCTCTCTCCCTCTCTCTTTCCCTCTCTCCCTCCCTCCCTTTCCCTCCCCCTCCCTCTCTCCCTCCCCCTCTCCCCCTCCCTCTCTCTCTCCCTCCCTCTCTCCATCCCTCCCTCTCCCTCTCTCTCTCAGCCATCACGAGGACTAGAGCCTTGCATGGTCTGCTTATTTCCAGCCAAGCGTTGTCTCAGCAGAGGCTAAGGACCGAGGAGGGAAAAGATGGCGTCTTCCCCACCCTTCAGGCACTCTGCTGCCTTTTGAAAAGAGTATTTTTGGTTAGGATTTGTCAGTAAGGTACCGGAAAAGTGGACAGAAGGAAAAGGAGAAAAAAAGAAGAATGGAGGAAAGAAAGAAAGGTGAAGCAGTGAAGAAAGAGAGAGAGAGAGAGAGAAAGAGAGAGAGGGGGGGGGGAGAGAGAGAAAGGAAGGAAGGAAGGAAGGAAGGGGGAGAGAGAAAGAAAGGGAAGAAAGAAAGAAAAAGAAAGACAGAAAGAGAGAAAGGAAGGAAGGAAGGAAGGAAGGAAAGACGGTGGGAGGGAGGAAGGAGGAAGAAAAGAAGAAAGGAAGGAAAGAAAGAAGGTGGGAGGGAGGAGGAAGAAAAGAAAGAAGAAAGGAAGGGAAAAAAGAAAGGAGGGGGGGAAGGAGGAAGGAAAGAAACATGACTTCCACCCTTCCTTCTATCAAATGATTACATCTTATTCTTCCTTATTCCTCTTTGGTCCTTTTTAATCCCCAAATCCATAAATTCTACAAAAAAAAAAAAAGCCCATTTAAAGCTTTTGGTCTTTTTCTTTTCTTTTCTTTTTTTTAAAAAACAGTCTTTATCATATATTTTTTTTCTAACCAAACTGGCCAGTTTTGCCATTTCTGGTTGGACAATCCCATCCCTTCCTGCGGGTTGACCTTTGGCATCTAAACGCAAGCTCAGATTCTAGTCCTCATGGTTCTGGCCGGATGCAGGCAAAACACAAAAAACAACAACACAAGTTTCTAGCCCTCATGACTCTCACTCAAGCTTCTTCCCCCCCTTTCCTTGCAGGAGGACGGTGCTAAAGGGCATCCAGTTCACTTGTCCCTTTACGCAGAGCTGCCCCGTCACCAAAGCCAAGCGGAGACAATGCCAGGCCTGCCGGTACAAGAAATGCCTCGCGGTGGGGATGAGGAAGGACAGTAAGTGTTCTCTTTCTTTCTTTCTTTCTTTCTTTCTTTCTTTCTTTCTTTCTTTCT